CGGAACTTACGAAAACCAAACTGAGAAGGGGAGAGATGGCGATAGTGTTCTAAGAACCACATGAAACGAACGTTAACCAAACGTTCAAAGAGCTTGCAGACACAACTCGTGAGGGCAATAGGGCGGAAGTCCTTGGGGGATGACCCGAGAGACCTCTGGTTTCTAAACAGAGAGGACAACAGCATCGAGCCAGTCCTCAGGGACTGACGATGACTCCCAGACCCGATTGTACAGACTCGGTAAATACTGAGACGTGCACGGAGGGAGATGGTGAAGCATTTCATAATGAATGCCATCGGAGCCCACCGCCGTAGAACCGCAAAGGGCTAGGGCAGACTGAAGCTCAGAGAGAGAGAGAGAGAGAGAAGGGATCATTATAGGGAAGTCAAAGATGAGTACAGAAATTTAAAGGACGAGATTCAAGAATAGGCTTACGAAGAAGGAAGGATTGGGGAAGATGAGAACCAGAGCAAACAGACGAAAAGTGGGAACCCAGTTCGGTCACGACTTGCAACGGGTCCGCCACAAGAGCACCACGGAGGCGAAGGACCGGAGAGACATCGGGAACAAATTTACCCGCAATCTTGCAGATACGCTTTGGGAGCCGGTCGGCCGAGAGGACAGCACACTGGGCTTGTGATCCTGTGGTCCCGGGTTCGATCCCGGGCGCCGGCGAGAAACAATGGGCAGAGTTTCTTTCACCCTTTGCCCCCTGTTACCTAGCAGTAAAATAGGTACCTGGGTGTTAGTCAGCCAACACGGGCTGCTTCCTGGGGGTGGAGGCCTGGTCGAGGACCGGGTTGCGGGGACACTAAAGCCCCGAAATCATCTCAAGATAACTCAAGATAAGGCGACCCCAGGTGTTTGTCAGCACATCACCCCAAAGGGCATGACAACAATTGAAATCACCCAGCAGGAGCACAGGCTCCGGCAAGGAGTCTAGGTGGTGTTTAAGATCGGGAAGAGAAAGTGGGACTTAGGGGGTGGGGGGGAGATAAATGGAACAAACCATGTACCATTTACACACAAAGACACGGGCAGCAGAACAGTGGAGAGGCAAAGAAAAAAGTAAGGGGACGAAGGGAACATCTGAGCGAATCAAGAGAGCAAAAGAGTTATGGGCCCCCAGCTGGGTGGGGGGGGGGGGGAGAGAAAATAGCAGCCACGGAAGCGACCAGGACGAGCACCAAGCATCGGCTCCTAGAGACAGACACAAAGGGGCGAAAATTGTGAAATTGGAAGTTGGAGGTCAAGGAAATTGGCGTAATATCCACGGATGTTCCATTGAAGAATATACATCGGCAAAAAGAGAAAGAATAGCAACAGAGAGCAAAGAAGAAACAAAGGTGAAAAAGGAACACAGCACGTTAAAGAAGCACAGGGTCAGGATCAGGGTCAGCGAAGTCAGGGTTACGGGGGACATGGGTAAACTGAGTAAAGGAGGAGCGAAAGAAGTGGGGGGACAGACCAGAGGTGGACGGACAGGATCTGTAGGAGGAGGAGGAGGAGGAAGGGCAGAAAGAGGGGGAGCGCACCTCAGCAAGGGCAGTAACCGAGACGGAACTCGGGGCTAAAGAAACCCCCACAGTAGGAACAGGGGGCTCCACCACCAAAGCGGGAAGGGAGGGAACGATAGAATCAGAGATAGGGGGCGAAGAGAAAAGTGAAGCCTTTTTACCTACCGGGGAGGAGAAAGGAGAGGAGCCAGGTTTCCGTTTCTGACTCAAAGAGACAGGTGTCCCAGCAGCAATGTACTGGGCAACAGACTCTAGTGTCTCGATAGGAGAAGAAGAGCGAGAGCGAACAACATGACCACCAGGAGAGCGAACAACATGACCACCAGGAGAGCAATGGACATCGGCCTGCACAGTCAGGTGGCGTGGAGAGCCAAGAGACGGAGAATGACGGGAAGGAGGACAAGTGGGTGAGGAGAAAGAACACACAGGAGACATGACAGACTGGGTAGAAAGAAGGGGAACCCTAGACAGAGAACCTGGAGAGGGACCCTCCGGGACAGAACGGTGGGAAACAGGGGAGGTGGTGGTGGGCGTGTCCTGGTCTAAGGCGTGGAAATGGTTGTGAGACTGCGGAAGGCGGGAAGGACGAGGCGAGGAAGAGCGCACCACGCTAGCATAGGAGAATCCAGCGAAAGAGGGGAGACGATGAACTTGGCGCCGAGCCTCAGGAAAAGACAAACGGTCCCGGTGTTTCAAGTTGAGGACGGTCGCCACAAGTTTGTAACGTATACACGTGCAAGAGAAGATAGGGTGGGCCTCACTGCAATTGAGGCAGTGAGCCTGGGCAGAAGTGCACTCCAACTTAGAGTGACCCTCGCCTCCACACATGGCACAGAGACAGACAGGACTAGAGCATTTGAGGACACCATACCCTAACCTCCAGCACTTATTGCAGAGCTGAGGAGATGGAATATACTTCTGAACGCAGCATCTGGCACCAGCAAGAATGACAGAGGGCGGAAGGGTCTTACCATCAAAGATAATCTTCACCACCCAAAGGGGCAGACGGCGATGACCATGAGGGGGACAAGTAAACGTATCCACCTAGAGGACAGAATGACCCTGGGACTCGAGGATATGCTTGATATCCTTGTGACAGTCTTAGATTCCTAACACTGGTCACAACATGGTGCGGGACGAGAACAGTGCCAACACTGGCATTTAACCGAGCGTTTTTTGAGACCCGAACAGGGGTATCGCCAAGACAGAATAAGGCGGCGAAGCGGGTGACTGCATCCTGAGAAGGAGCAGCAACGACACAGGTACCAAGACGGGTGGGGTTGAAGGTAACAGTGGCATCTACTGAATCTACAAGATGCCTATGAAGGGAAAAATCGTCAGGAGGGGTTGAATCTAAAGGATGGAGGTCAAAGTACTTAGGCCACATAGCAGGACCAAACAAAGCATGGTACGAATTAGCATGGGAAGGGAGCATACGAGAGCGGCTGTGGTGGGGACGGTGATGAGAACCTTTAGAGAGACGGGTCATAAGGCGCAGTAGTCACAATAAGAGATGGAGCCGTGCAAGGGGACAGGGCGGTCACCACAGCAGGCTTGGGGCTCGACCCAACCACAGAGGAGGGGAGCAGGGAGGAAGAGTCCGATCTGGGCCTAAACCGGGCCCTGTAGTGGGGGCTACATCCGTGGGGGAAGATCCCGGTCTTCCAGGACAATCCGACTCGGGGGCCAGGGGCCAGATTCATGAAAGCACTTACGCAAGCACTTACGAACGTGTACATCTTTCCTCAATCTTTGACAGCTTTGGTTACACTTATTAAACAGTTTACAAGCGTGAAAACTTCCTATTCAACTGTTATTGTTATAAACAGCCTCCTGGTGCTTTGGAGCTCATTAACTGTTTAATAATTGTAAACAAAGCCGCCAAAGATTGAGAAAAGATGTACAGGTTCGTAAGTGTTTGCGTAAGTGCTTTCGTGAATCTGGCCCCTGGTCGCCCACCCCATGAGCCTGGGTAAGAGAAGTCGTGTCGTCATCCATGCAGCAAACAATATCAAAAGTTTGGGACCTGGAACCAAGGGATACCACCTACCAGGGAAGCCAGGGAGGCCGAGCACGGGTCAGTGCAGGAAGGGTGCGTCGTCCCCAGCAGTGCTCCCCCTTTTCAACAGGGGAGTCCTACTACATCGTCCATTCTCCCACACTGGTGCTAAGACCCCATTCCCCCTATCTCCCCAGCCTGGACACCCAACCATTCACTCAGGGCGACCCCTCACAGGCCAACCCATTCTCGCACTTTCTTACAGTCAATATTGACTTATTAAATACGTGCATATGTGTCATACTAAACATACTAGTTTACCTTGAAAAGCTTCATAAAAAACACCGACCTTACCTAACCTTCTTAGTATGTTAAGATAAGCATCTTATTGCTTATTACAATTATTACTTAACCTATACCTATAATAAGTTTATATAGGTTTAATATAGGACTTAACCTATACCTATAATAAGTTAAGTAATAATTGTAATTACGAAGCAATAAGATGCTTATCTTACCATACTAAGAAGGTTAGGTAAGGTCGGTGTTTTCTATGAAGCTTTTCAAGGTAAACTAGTATGTTTAGTATGTCACATATGCACGTATTTAATAAGTCAGTATTGACTATATGAAAGTGCGAGAACGGGTTGCACAGGCTACCCCTCCAGCGGGTGGTCTGATAGCTCACAAGGCCCCTACGTGGTGACCCTCAGCACGTGCACCACCCAAGGTGGGGGCAGGAGAGGGGGGCAAAGGCAACCCACACCGGCCCCAGAGAGGTGTACACGAGCCCCTCACCACGGAGGGGCCCCTATCTGATCAGATGGTCTCGTACTGTTATTTTCCTCTGAATATGGCTATGCAATAGCTCAGGGTGGCTCTCTGCTTCTGCTACAATGTCATTTTCAAACTGCTGCCTCTGTACTATATAGTCCCTATATTTTTTCTATGCCTTTTTGCCTTCTTTTCCTCCTTATTCTGTTGAACATGGATTTGCTGTGTTTCTTCGTCAACTTCTCTTGTGAGAGGTACGAATTGTTCTGTTGCTTTTTTTCATTTTTGTGCTACGAGTATCATTTAATCTGCTGATTTTCCTTCCATTCAGTCTCCCACTGACCCTCCTGCAAACAGTCCCTAACCTTCTGTATTTTTTCATGTTCCGTGTCCTATTCCCAATTTGCTCTCAGCTCTTTAATATATTCAAACACAATAATGTAGTGGTCACTGGCTTCTAGTGGCACCTCATATTTAAAGCTCTCTACACCTTCATTTTGAGTAAACACCAGGTCTAGCGTAGCTGGTAGATCACCACCTCTTTCTCATATTCACTCCTTGATATGCTGCATGGTTGAAGTGTTTGCAGTGTCCACAAATCTTGTTCACCTTGTTTCATCTTCAATAATTAAAATACCACTGTGTCAGGATCTTTGCTCTGGCTCTCCTTGTTACTGTGGCAAGCCCTTGCAGGAAACAGAAGCACAACATTCATGTTTACAAATTTAATGGTAAACTTACATTTAGTAGCGTACATGATTTAAACATCACACCAAAAGTTCCTCAGATAAAATTGCTGTTATATACATTAAACTTATTAGTACTTTTATGTACATAATTATATATGACAGTATGGTAAATAACAGTATGGTAAATAAATGTAAATAACAAATTTTACTATGCATATAAAGCTTTGTTAGTAACCATTTATCTGTTCAGTGTTCCAATTTATTATGCAAGCTATTAGAAATTACATATGCAACACTCAAGTTTGCACTTCCTTAAATAATTTTTTGCAGAGCAGTACTGTATTCTAATTTGATACTTTAATATTGCTGCCCATTATAAACAGTCTAACTCTGCTGGACATGCCTCTTCTCTTCTGAAAAGAAAGAACATTAGTATTAGCTATGACACTTTTTCAAATTTATCCTAGTTTATGTAAGAAATATTTCATGGGCAAAATCTGAATTTTTTTTAGAGAAATGGAGAGGTTTCTGCAGAAACAGCCAAGTTGAGATGAATATGCAGCTTCCAAACTGCTGCCAGCCACTTTACCAATCAAGTTACCATGAAGTAAGCAAGCAATTATCAAAAGAAGGCACCAAACTGGGAAGGCTATATAGCACCATCAAATGTGCGGGATAATCAGAGGGCGCTAAATATCACCAAGGATGCCAATACGAGAACAGAAACGCATAAGGCGAACGATATCAAAAGTATCTGAATCACCAAGAATACTATCAAGGGACAAGCGACAGTGGGGGACGATCGGAAAACAAAACACACCCTTGTCCTGGAAGTCAGGGCATTCAAAAGGATATGCACGACCGTAAGAGGGACAATGCAATTTGGACAATAAGGCGCAGGGCGGTGCTCCATGTGACCATGAGTTAAGCGAGTATGGTCAATATGCAACCTCGCCAGAGCCGTTTCCCTTCGCCGTTTACGGTGGTAGGAAGACGGCCGCAAGGACACACAACTCTTAAGTGTACGCAGTTTGTTTCCAGTAACCGAAGACCAACAAGCCTGCCAACGGGTATGGATGGAGGAATGGATAACCGGGTAAAAATCGGAATAAGGAATACTGTACCTTTACGAGAGATGGGACAAGAGCGGACAGCTTCGCTGGCGGCAGCATCCGCACGCTCATTTAAAGAGACACCAACATGGCTTGGAACCGAACAAAACTCAACCGACTTAAATTTACTGTGAACAAGAAACAGCCAATGCTGGATCTCAACAACCACTGGATGAACCGGATTAAAGGACCCGAGAGCCATGAGGGCACTACGAGAGTCAACAAAAACTACAAAGGAAGATTGACCATGAGAAAGCAGGAGAAGAAGAGCATAGAGAATAGCATAAAGTTCCACTGTGAAGATGCTAGTCTCCGGAGGTAAGCAACACATATAAGTGCAATCAGGAAAAACAACGAAGTAGCCTACACCGTCTGCAGACTTAGACCCATCGGTGAAGACGGAAACGGAGCAGGAGTGAGGAGAAAAGTGCTCAAGGAAAAGGCGTTTTAGAACCGCTGGAGGGGTAAAAGCTTTAGTGATGTGGGTTAAGGATGTACAAATCTGCGGAAGGGGGACTCTCCACGGGAGCAAAGAAGGAACAACATGAGGAAAAATATTAGAAATACGAACTGAAAGAGAATCCTGTAAGCGAGATAACCGGACAGAATGAGGGAGGTGGTGAAGAGAAACAGGAACAGCAGGAGGGGCAAAAGTTAAAGCACGACAGAGGCGAGAGGAAGGATATTGCAAGGACCGCGTAAGATAGCAAAGGCAGTAGCGATCACGGCGGTCCTAGAGATATAGGAAGCCAGTGTCAACATACAAGCTGAGGACGGGAGTTGATCGAAAGGCACCAGAACTGAGGCGCAACCCAGTAAGGTGCAAAGCATCAAGACGGCGAAGAGTAGACGGAGAAGCAGATGAGTAAGCAGGGCAACCATAATCGAGCTTAGACAGGACGAGAGAGGAATGAAAAACGAGTAGAGTGCACCTATCTGCTCCCCATGACGTATGGGACAATACCCAAAGGAGGGCCAAGGGCTTTAGTGCATTCAACACGGAGGTAAGAGACATGGGGCGACCAAGACAAATGAGTGTCAAAAATCAACCCCAAAAGCTTAGCAGAATCCTTGTACACAATGGGGTGACCACAAAGCGACAAAGATGGACAAAGAACGACACGCTTACAAGTAAAAGTCATAGCACAAGTCTTAGAAGTAGAGAACCTGAAGCCATGATTGGTGGCCCAAGACGACACGGCATCAATCGCAAGTTGAAGCCGGCATTGAAGGAGAGGTGAATCATCACCCCTGACAGCAAAGGGTGAGATCGTAGACATAGAGAGCGGAGAAGACGCCTGAAGAAAGAGAGGAAAGAAGACCATCGAGGGCAACCAGAAAAAGAGTAGTGCTCAGAACACTACCATGTGCACACCTTCGTATTGCTGAAAAGAGGCAGATGACCATGCAGGCCAAAAGAATGATGTTGGGATAGAATATGATATCGCCAAGTGGTGTCGTAAGCCTTCTCCAGGTCAAAAAGGACGGTAACAACGGAGGTCTTCGCAGCAAAAGCAGTACGAATATAGACCTCCAAATTCACCAGGACATCTGTTGTGCTGTGGCACTTGCAGAAACCAAATTGAGAAGGAGAGAGGTGGTGATGGTGTTCTAAGAACTACATCAGACGAACGTTAACCATACGTTCAAAAAGTTTACAGACACAACTTGTGAGGGCAATAGGGCGAAAGTCCTTAGGGGATGTTCCCAGAGACCCTGGTTTATGAACAGGGACGACAACGGCATCGAGCCAGTCCTCAGGGACTGACGACGACTCCCAGATCCGATTATACAGACTCAGTAAATACTGAGACGTGCACGGAGGGAGATGGCGAAGCATCTCATAATGAATGCCATCGGATCCCGCCGCCGTAAAGCCGCATAGGGCCAGGGCAGACCGAAGGTCAGAGAGAGAGAAGGGATCGTTATAGGGAAGGCGAAGAAGAGTACAGAAATCCAGAGGACAAGATTCAAGGACAGATTTACGAAGAAGGAAAGATTGGGGAAGATGAAAACCAGAGCTAACAGAAGAAAAATGGGAACCCAGTTCGGTAGCGACCTGCAACGAGTCCGCCACAAGAGTACCACGGAGGTGAAGGACCGGTGAGACATCGGGAACGAACTTACCCGCTATCTTGTAGATACGCTTCCAGATCTGTGGCAGAGGAGTTTCAGACGTAATGGTGGGTACATAAGATGCCCAACATTCACGTTTAGCCGTATGGATGGGGCCACTGCATTTTGCCTTCCGAAATAAAAGAAAAGAATCGGCTGTCTGCCGGCGGTGGTCTCTCTTCCAGGCTGCATGCTTACAGTGGACAGCCCGTGCACAGTCTGTATTCCACCAGGGAACACACTTCCGTGGGCCCCAATAGGAAGAGCGAGGAATAGAGCGGAGGGCAGCGTCGAAGACAGTGTCATGAAAAAGGAGGAGAGAGCGAGTAAGAGGCAGAAGGGAGAGGTCAGAGAGAGCAGCATGGAGGGTAAATAGGTACCAGTCTGCCTTAGCAAACTGCCACCTAAGGAAGGAGAGGGGGAGGGTGAAAAGAGAAAAAGGTAACAAGGATGGGGAAATGGTCACTGCCATGGAGGTCATCTTGAGGTTATCTTGAGATGATTTCGGAGCTTTTTAGTGTCCCGGCGACCTGGTCCTTGACCAGGCCTCCACCCCCAGGAAGCAGCCTGTGACAGCTGACTAACACCCAGGTACCTATTTTACTGCTAGGTAACAGGGGCATAGGGTGAAAGAAACTCTGCCCATTGTTTCTCGCCGACGCCTGGGATCGAACCCAGGACCACAGGATCACATGTCCCGCGTGCTGTTCGCTCGGCCGACCGGCTCCCTCAAGAAACTGCCACATGAAATCTAAGTAAAGAGAAGACGAGCAAAGAGAAAGATCAAGACAGGAAAGGGTGCGAGTCCAAGAGTCCAAATGCGTGGGCTCACCAGATTTCAGAAGAGACAGGGAAGAAGAGAGGATGAACGGCTCAAGAAGGCGACCCTGGGTGTTCGTCAAAACATCACCCCAAAGAAAATGACAACAATTGAAATTACCTAACAGGAGCACAGGCTCCGGCAAGGAGTCCAGTGGGTATTTCAGGTCGGGAAGAGAAAGCGGAACACTCAGGAGGAGATAAATGGAACAAACGGTGTACCATTTCCTCACAAAGATACGAGCAGAACAATGGAGAGGCGAAGGAAAAAGTAAGGGGACAAAGGGAACACCAGAGCGAATCAAGAGAGCAGAAGAGTTAGGAGCCCAGCAACAGCTGAGGGGGGGGGGGGGGAAGAGAAAGGAATAGCCACAAAAGCGACCAGGACGAGCACCAAGCATCGGCTCTTGGAGACAGACAAAGGGGCGAAAACTGCAAAATCAGAAGTTGGAGTTCAAGAAAATTGGCGTAATAACCACATACATTCCATTGAAGAATAGACATCGACAAGAAGAGGAAGGCCAGCAACAAAGAACAACGAAGAAACAAAGGCAAAAAGGGAACACAACATGTTAAAGAAGCACAGGGTCAGGGTCAGTGAAGTTGGGGTTAGAGGGCATTGGTAAACTGAGTAAAGGAGGAGGGAAGGTGGCTAGAGGACCGACCAGGGGCGGACGAGTAGGGTCCGGAGAAGGAAGGGAGGGGGGATAACCGAGGGTCAAGGACAGCAGCAGGAGGGGCAGAAACCAGGGGATGCACCTCGGCAAAGGCAACAACCGAGAGGGAAGCGGGGGCCAAAGATACCTCCATAGCAGGAACAGGGGGCGTAACCACTGAAATGGGAGGGGATGGAGCGAGAGTCAGAAGTAGGGGGCGAGGAAGAAAGGGAAGCCTTTTTACCCGCCGGGGAGGAGGAAGGAGAGGAGCCAGGCTTACGCTTCTGACTCAGAGACAGGTATCCCAGCAACTACATACTGGGCTGGTTGATACCTGGTTACCTGGTTTATGGGGTTCTGGGAGTTCTTCTACTCTTCAAGCCCGGCCCGAGGCCAGACTTGACTTGTGAGAGTTTGGTCCACCAGACTGTTACTTGGAGTGGCCCACAGGCCCACATACCCACCACAGCCCGGTTGGTCCGGCACTCCTTGAAGGAAACAATCTAGTTTCCTCTTGAAGATGTCCACGGTTGTTCCTGCAATATTTATGATGCTCGCTAGTAGGACGTTGAACAACCGCGGACCTCTGATGTTCATACAGTGTTCTCCGATTGTGCCCATGGCACCTCTGCTCTTCACTGGTTCTATTCTGCATTTTCTTCCATGTCGTTCACTCCAGTACGTTGTTATTTTACTGTGCAGATTTGGGAC